GAGAATATTAAGACAAGTTCAGAAGATATGTTACCAACGCATGGTTGCTATTTAAAGGAAACTGAGATACCTATTTATTGAGACAAAAGTTGGAAAAGAAGTTATTAAGGTGAATTGGATAAATCATTCAAGATGAGGCATATGGGAGATTAAATCTGTGCGCTATATATTTATTGGTTTAAATCCTAGCTGAATGAATTTCGAGGACGAAATTCTTTGAAGGGGGTAAGATTGTTACACCCCATTTCATATTAGTCAAATGTCAATATTATTTATTCAAAGTCAAATGTTTGATTGGTCAAAGTCAAAGTCAAATAAGGACTTAATTGACGTAAATCATTTCAGTGGGACGCGCACTGACCAAATTATTTTTGAAGGTTTGTTTTACAAATTGACACCATTTAAAGGTTTAAGATAGATAAAATTAAATGTTGGGGATTTACTTTTTATTAATGGAAGTTAGATGACTAAATGTCATATTTAATTGAAGAAGAGGGACTTCTTTGCAAAAATGGATTGGTGGAGTACAAGCGGTAACTTACTAGCTAATCTCCCATTTTCATATGATATATACACACCAGAGAAGGAGAGAGATGGGAGACGGCAGGAAAAAAAAAAGAGAAGAGAGAAGAGAGAAAAGAGAAAGAAAAAAAATAAAAAAAAAATTTGCCAACGTGTTAGGAATTAAATGATCTACATTATTAGGCTTGAATTCCTCAATTTTGAAAGGTAAGTAAAAAGTTACTTATTATCAAGTTATGTTTGATTTTATAGTTGTTAGATTGTTAGATTAAATTCAATTTTATTAAAGGGGTTAAGTATAATAAACTATGAAATTGAGTAAAATGAAAGAAAAACTAGTTTTAGTTATTAAAGAGACTTTAGAAATCGCCTAAACGTGAAATGATTAAGTTTGGGTATCACCTATTTAATTATTGAAATTATTTAAAATAATTAATTGTTTATTTAAAAATTATATCGTATTTCAGATGACGATACTGACATCAGAACAGCTTACCAATCGGGTTGATTTTGCGAACATTGTACAGTGAGTGGAAAAATATAAATATTTTTAAAGTATTTATAAATTAAGTTTATTGTTAAAGTATGTGCAATTATATGCAATTATGTGTTCGATTATATGATTATTTCAAGGATTATTTATTGTACGTTTGTAACTTGGTATATGAGACATGTGATATTGAGATTTGTTTGGTATGTGAGACATGGTATTAAGATCGACCAGAAAAGTACCTGTGATTATGTACTTCTTCTAGTTCGCAAAAGGGCCTTAGTCGTGTTCTATCCTACACGGAGGGTCTTGACCGGATATTGGTCTCGACTATGTACATATAGTTCACAGAAGGGCCTTGGCCGTGTTCTAGAATTGATTGTGAGAGGTCTTTGAAACCAACTTTCATTCACGGAGGGGCCAAAGGCCCGTGGCGAAAGTTCTTAGCTCGAGGGGCGGATTATATATTTTAGTCAGAGGGTACATTTTTGGTGGATCACATGTGATGTGATGAGATGATAGTATAGATATCAGTTGATGACTATATTGTGGATATAAGATGATATTTACAGAGTTATGAGAATGTCTCACTTTTTGTCTATATTTGTATGAGGCTATCATGTGAAATATTAAATGATATGAACTTGATGTTTGATAAAAATGTTTAAATGAGAAAGCATAATTATTTTCGAACTCTTCCACTCACTAAGCTGTCAACTCATATTTTCCTAAAATTATTCTTACAGGTAATATTGGTCCTTGATAGCTTGAGGAGCCTGGTGATTTCAAAGTTAGAGCTACACAACATATTGATGAGTCAATTTGATAAAACACGATGTAATTTTGGGCCCATTGCACTATGTTTTTATGAACATTTGATTTTTGTCGTATATTTTGTAGTAATTCATAATCAGCTTTGGTGATAGATTTGACATTTAGTCAGCATCTATCATCGGCGCACATCACGTTTTGGGTCCACTAGGGTGATTCCGGACAGATCGTGTCACCATGTTATTTGAAATCTTCATTTTGGGCGGGTATGTCAACCACACAGCGGAATGAGGGTATTAATGTATTTTTCGATGGGTATGTTCATTCGAAAACATCCCTAAAGCAATTTGTGGAGCAGTATGAGCGTGCGTTGCGAAGTAAAATTGAGAAAGAGTTTCAAGCTGACTTCAGATCATTTTCACAGATGGTCCCATGTGCGACAAGGTACGAAATGGAGAAACAATTCCAATCGATTTACACAATCGCAAAGTTCAAGGAATTCCAGGAGCAGTTCACCGGAAAGGTATATTGTGAAGTAGTATGCGCTCATGATTCGTACATGCATACTATATATGACGTACGTGAAGACATTATTTTGAATGACTGTATGAAGACCTGTATTTTTAAAGTACAGCTGCGTAAGGATGAGTGTGATTTCGAGTGCAGCTATCACTTATTTGAGTTCAGAGGAATAGTTTGCAAGCACATGATTGCAGTTTTGATACGCAATCAGGTGAAATTAGTTCCCGAGAAGTACATATTGCATAGATGGGGGAAAGATGTCAACAGACCATACATAAGGGTTCCAATCAACTGCGACGGTTGGATTAGCACTCCGGACCAGGTTAGATATGAGGAATTGTGCAGTGCATTTACGAAATTAGCTGACTTAGTAGCACACGACCAATCTCGATCCCAAGGAGTTATGGAGTGGATTGAATTTCAAACAGTAGAGGCATTGACATTGAATCCTACAATGATGAGCTCCCAAAGCTTTGATGAATCAGGAAAGTGAGGTGGCGAAATCATCTTCGACCCGAAATATACAAAGAGCAAGGGAGCTCCAAAAAAACTTCATCAGAAGGGACATCTAGAAAGTAGTTCGAAGACAAAACGATGTTATCATAAGGTATAAAAACTTCATGCCTTTTATTATTTTCTTCTCATTTGTTCAGTATTTCTACACATATTGAATCATAATGTTGCTTCCCAAGTTTTGTAGGTGGTATCGAACTCAAGTACATCGAAAACACAACTAAACAATGATACATCGCCTCCAACCAATGACCAGGTAACTGTTCGGACCAGATTTATGTATACAAACATTGATAAGTTCCCAATTGACTTGTTTGAAAATGACGTTACTAATTCCATTTGTAGGAAGTCCACATGACAGGCACCTTCCCTTCCCAACATTTTGGCACGCAGGAAAGCGTAGGGGATTTTGGTTCAAGGGTGTAATTCCTAAGTTGAATACCCAGTGCTTATGTTATGTTACAAATTGTTGTATTCATTTGTTTGAGGAAGAAATTTCTGAAGTTATTGTTTGGACTACTCTAGCTTTCTGCCTGGAAGTCTTTTACCCAATGTAGTCCAAATTTTCCTCTTGCTCTATGGTTTGATGTGGTCCGAATTTTCCTCTTTCTGCAGTTTGGTTTGATGTGGTCCGAATTTTCCTCTTTCTTTATCAGAAATCTGTATTTTTGTTTTTTACCCAGATGATATCAAAGACTTGTAAAGTTTTGAATCCAATTGAAGGAAGTTCGCAGTGTTTCAAGGGGGAAGCAATGGATCTACTAAAAACCGATAATCAACTCCAATTACGGCTTATGTCATTTGGTTTTTGCCAATGATTTGTGTAATTTAACATAGGCAGCTGAACTACTAAAAACTTCTTGCAATGGATTATAGCAATGGTCGTTTCTTGTGCAGTATTGACAATTGGCTTATGAGAATTTCCAAGATGGAATTTTTTGGCTGTCACTGGAAATGACTAAAAGAATGTGGGAAAGTGATCATTGTTAATGCAGAAGGTGGCTTATGAGAATTACTTGTAATGCAGATTTTTTTGGCTGTCACTTGTAAGCAATGGAGATTTTTTTAACATAGGAAGCAATGCAGATTTTTTTGGTTGTCACTTGTAATCGTTGTTTGTAGTTTTTGGATTATATTTGTAATTTTAATGTCCCAAAAAAAAAACTTTACACTCCGCACAGTGCGGGCCCAACACTCCATACAGCGCGGAGTGTTGGGGCGAAACACTCCGTGCTGCGTGGAGTGCTCAGTTTAGTTTAGTTTTTTTTTTTTTGTACATATTTTTGGTAATTTAGCCATAACTTTTGCTACGGTTATCAGAATTGTGCCCATGACCCTAATTCGTAAAGCTCTTTTCGACGTGCACATCCTAGACACCAAGCTTTGCTGGGTGGGCATTGTTTTCGAGGTCAAAATCCATTGTTTTCCCTTCCAAATCGCCAATTATAGTTATTCTCTTACTTTCTATCGTTTTCAGTATTTATCCTACGTAAATAATAATAATAATAATAATAATAATAATAATAATAATAATAATAATAATAATAATTGATGTCATACACTTTTTTTTTTTTTGAAGATTGAGGTTATTTGATTATGTCTTACTATGATCCTTCAACGACTAGCATAGTCAATTGCCCTGAGACATTTGTGTACTGCTTTTTTTATGTTATATTTTCTCAAAAGCTTCTCATCATGTGTCTTCAAATTGTATTAATGAGCTACTTTTTTTATTTTGAAACAAACTTATTTGGCTACACTAACACAACCTGCAGGAAAATACAGCCCGTGCAGCGCACAGGGAAAAACAAGTCTGGGAAAGTGAACAAATATTGTGTTGTGTTTTTGCAAATTTAAGCTTGTTTTACATGAATCTGTCTATATTTAGTAGTTTGATAACGTTACTTTTCTAAGTACTTGAATCATTCTCAATATAATAAAGGGACTTCAAGAAATTAATTATAAAACATGGTGTTTGTATATTGTTTAAGATAAACAATTCTTGGGCTACCTTGATGTTTAGGTAGGAGACGAGCAGAGGCATGAAAAATGATTAACAATACAAGAGCCAACTCACAAGTACACAACAACTTTGCTTCCTTGGAATATATGCAAGAGACAACAACTGTCACTAACCAATTCAAAGCCAATAGATATGGGATCAATAAGCGGCAATTAGATGTTGAAGTCGAAGTCATCCAAATACAGGTAAATCAAACTTAAAGCCAACGAAGTCAAAATCATCCAAATACATGTAAAACAAACTTAAAGCTAAAGAAGTTGAAATCATCCAATTACATAGATTTCAAATTAAATCATCTGAAACACATTTCCCCTTACACATGGTTATGTTAAGTGAAATCTCCACATCTCGCTCCTCGGTTATTTTTTCACATACTTTCAACATCCGGGATAACTCATTGACCGGTTCACTTCCTTTGGTTGTGCCACTTGATTCGCCTTACAATGGATACTCTTCATCAGGCGAAACGTTACAAAACTTGAAGAACTCACAGTCGTGAATACAGGAATGGAACAACTTCCCTTGATTCTTGGAATTTTTTTCTACCTCCAACCATCTAAAGAACCCATATCCACAATTTGGGCATCTCTTCTTTTTGGGGCATTCCGACATCATGTGTCCTGCCCCCCGACAAGAATGACAAATTCCTCTGTTCTTCCCAACAATCAACAATATTGATTCATGCACAAAAAACTACTGGTTCATCATAAATTGACAGGATGAATAACGTTGCAATTTTTCCACTCTACAAGCTAAACTGTAATGACATGGGAAAAAAAAAACAAGATATCTTTCTCAACGCATGCATTTCACCATCAACAACCCCATCAATTTAACTGTAAATCTGACTTCACATAACAAGCCCATCAGTTAACTGTAAATCAGACTCACATACGTAGATTGTGCAGACACAACATTGAAATATATTCTTCAATTTCTAGAATGAGAATTGGGCACAGAAAATCCAATTTCTCAGATTGTGCAAACACAACATATTTCAATAGATCTACATTCAGGTCACTGTATTGGCCTAAACCTTAAATAGTAAAACTAAAATAAAAATCGAATTCAGATTCGAAGTTCTTAACCTGGATTCTGCAACTACGTCGACCAAATTTCTGACGCCATCGTCTTTCCCGTTCTCCTAGATTTGCTCGTTCGCGATCTTCACCGGCCACTTGAAGGACATCATCGCGTAGACTATATTAGTGCAGGATAGAGAGAGAAAAAACGTCGTTGGCCGAATTTGTGATGCCGTCTTCTTCCCCGTTCTCCTAGATTTGTTCGTTCGGCATCTACACCGGCGATCTGGAGGACATGTTCATCGGTTAGTCAGAGAGTTATTACAGAGAGATGGAGGGGAGAGAGTGACAAGTCTTGTGTGCAATGTGCGTGAGTGAATATGTTTTCGCCCAATATCTTTTAAAATTGATAATTGCCAAAGAAGTGTCAGATGACATTTTGACCAAGTGACATTTTTTTGAATTCAAATTATTGCAAGATCAGCCGTCTGTAAAAAATTCTGGCAAAGGTTATGAACATATAGAAATTTCCTAAAATCAATTACCAACCAACTCCGAACAGACAGCAAAACCTCCCTCCCTTAGCCCCTGCTATGTGAGTTCACTGACTCTGTAACGGTGTGACCTGCTAGGCTGCTTTCAAGTCGCCGCCGACGTCGAGCCTGACTCCGTCTCCATCCGTGACTCTCGAGCCTCCGCCTCTGCCTCTGCCTCTCTTCTCTTCTTTTTTCTTTTCTTTTTTTCCCGTTCTTTTAGTTCATTTTCTGACTTATAATTTATGCGTTATAATTAATGTTTATGAGTTATGACACTGCTGAGGTTTATGACTTATGAAAATTGGGGACTGTGTGAATTTATTTGAGAATATGTGATATTTTATTTGTTATAAATAATTGAAGAAAAAAATCCCTACGTAGTTCCTACCTAAACGATTTTTTGGGAAATTTTGCTTTATTTCCAATAAATGGATGAGATTACAGCATTATATTTAGTCTTAAATAGAGTGAGTGGTCCTAATCAAATGTTTAAATGATTTTAAGCTGTTCGTGCGGCCTCTTACTTTGCGGATTTATTGTGCAAACAATATGTCAAAATTTAATTTCTTTACTGGCATATGCCTTCGAAATTCTGCTTTTTGTTGTTGGTACCAAAGCTTCCAAATATGCTCTTTCCTGAAATTGACAGAACGATGCCTTTTAATGCCATCTTTCAATAGATAATCCAAGGAACGGTTCTCTCTTACGAGTTGGATGGTGTCTTGTCAAACGACGAAGAATGATCATGGAGCTAATCTCAGATTTATTGGGAATAAGGGTTGATTTGTTGTTGTCTTGTACATAATATGTGTATAGAAGTCAATAATCCATATGTTTCATTTTTTATTTGGTTCTATAGCCCTCAATTATCATATGTTAATCTTTAGTTTCAGAGGTTTCGGAAATAGAGACACGGGGCCTTGCCCTTGGATTTTTCTGCACATCTCAAAATCCCTTTCTTGCACTTGGGATTTTCTGCATAGCTGTTCTCTATAGGGGTGGGCGCGGGTCGGTTCGGTTCAGTTCTCTTTAGAACCGAACCGAACCAAAATTTTCGGGTATCTAGTAAATGGAACCGTCGGATCCAAATATAATTATGGAACCGTTCGGGTTCGGTTCCGTTCGGTTCATTTCGGTTCAGTTCCGTTCCGTTCCCTTATGTACTAAAATTAAATTTTTTAACATTTATAACAATATTATATAAATACAACTAATGATACATTCAATGATTTTGGAATGCCATAAACTAGTAGACTGCCTTGTTCAAATGATCACTACGGTCAAAGTTTCAGTCGGCGGAGGTCGCAACTTCGATCGGAGGTTACAGTATCGGCCGACGATTGTATAGGTTTTGAAATGTCAGCGAGACTGCGAGAGTGAGTGCGAGAATGAAGACAACGTTATGCACTTTAGTGTAGGTATTTAGAGTTATTTAGTGGATTGGATCTTGTTTGGCTAAAAAATGAAACAATAAAATGAGTAATAGGGCCAAAAATTAAAAAATTAGAAATGAAACAAATTATTGGGCCAAAAATTTGGATTTAGAAATTGTTAATTTGTTTAGAAAAATTAAAATTAAAATAATTTGATTTACTCAACATAAAAAAAAAATTAGAAATATTCGATTTTTATTCGATTCGTCGGTTCTTGGTCTAGAACCGAGAATCGAACCGTACCCGTCGGTTCTCAATTCAGATACCCGTTCGGATATTTAATTTGACAAGAACCTTTGGGTTCGGTTCGGTTCGGGTTCGGTTCGGTTCGAGAGATTTACCCAACCCTAGTTCTCTATGCATTGGCTAGGAAGGAAAAGGCCACGTCCGATGGGACCATAGAATTTGTAAGCCACATATCTTTCTATTTTTTTCTATACGTAATTCTTGTCGGAATTGTCGTAGTATCGTGCAATATAGTATACATGTATGTTGGCATATACATAAAAATAATGCATACATATATTAGTATACATTATAGTATACGAAAAGAAATGCAGAAAGTTGTGTGGTTGAAATGAAATATGTAAAGCTCATCTCCCCAAGTCCTATTTCCTATGTTTGTGTAATGTTTACTTTTTCATCTTTCAATTTGAGATTTCAAAATGTCATATAATATAAGTTACTTTTCTTTTCTAAAGGACTCTTGTTTTTTGTTTTTTTTTTTTAGTCATAGATGAAAATTAAATTGAAGGAGAAGGAGGTTGCCATCACATCTTTGCAGAAAAAATTCGAATTGGAAAAAGAATTTGGAAATGAGCAACTACAGAAATTAAGAAGGAGAATCAGTCTTTAGCTGACCAATTTGATCAAGCAATAATTTTCATTGATGAGCTTGATGCAGAACTCGAGAGTCTTCAAATCAAAGATTATAGGTCAACGGAGGAGAATAAGGAACTCAGAGAAAAATTGAAGGTCAAGCATGAATCTTCTCTACTCTCGGGAGTGATAATCAGCTTCATGGGTTTAAAGATTGAGGATAATGAGGAAAAGATTCGAAACCTTAGCTCCATACTTGCTAAAAGAGAGAGAAGTTTAAATGAATTGAGCTATTCGTATCTGCAGTCTCAGGAAACTGTAGAGAAATGGAGGAACGAAGCTTCGGATTTTGCAAAACAACTGCAACAATCGAGGGATTTGTGCTCAAAGCTTGAAGCACGGATCTCTAATATTCAAGCCAAGTTTGCAGAGAAGCTGTCAGGTAAAGAACCATTCATGATATTGAAGCAGATTTGGAAGAGGATACTAAATCACTTGACAAGATGAATCAAAATGTATTAATGCTTTCTAGAGATTTAGAATTTGTAATGCTGGTATTTCCTTCCTGTGTATATCCTTTCCAGAGATTTAGAACTTGCTAATGCTGGTATTTCCTCCCTGGAAGATGAGAGATACGTGTTCTATAACGAGCATCAACTTTATGCCTAGTTATGGAGCGTTGTCTATATAAATAACTTAGTCGTCGAGTTTGATAAACTAAAAAATAATTATGTGATTAAATAATTATGAATCTCATGTGTAGGAATTTTCGGTCCCAGTTATGAACAAAATAATAAAGGAAATTGCGAGAACACCAAAGATTTTTCGCCCTTAGGCCCGGATGTTCACCCACAAAGGGCTAATCACCACGTTGAGCATCCACTTGAAGTGGTTATCGCTCCAATCCACTAGAACCAGCAAAAATATTGAGTGTTTAAGAATTACAAATAATAGATCTTAAAAGATATAGCTCTCAGACTCTGTAAAGTTTCGGATTTTTACTCACACAAATTACATCAAAGTAATCAGTACCAAACACTCAATCAATAAGTAGAATCATCACACAAATACTGTAATCTATATTAGATCTCACCAACACCTAGAAATCAAGAGATTACAGACGAAAACCAAGAGTTTTCAAGAAGAGACGAACAGAGAACGAAGACCCACAAAGAACCCTAGAAGTCTCTCGAATGAATGAGGCAAGTGAAGAGTCTAGGGCAAGGTAAATGAAAAAACATTTGCATCCAACGGTTCAGCCGACTCCACCTAGTATTATCTGATCCGTTCAATTAATACAACTAAAGTCGCATTTACAAGAGAAACACGAGACTGCACAAGTGGGAGCAAACCGGGTCACATTCAGTTTTAAAAGGGCCACTCCTTTTGGGCTGCATCATTGGGCTCCAACAAATGTTAAGCATAACACCAACATTCTCCACCTTGCTTGACATTTTGGGTTTTAAGTGGATTAGAGAATAACACTTTCTTTAGGTTTCATTTGCTCTTATTTCTTGAAAAAAAATTTAGTTAGTAATAATATTTAGGAGATTTAGGCAATCCCTAAATTTATGTAAAGAAAGTATCTTTGTTCCCATATCAGTTGGATTACACTTAGTAGAAATGTTATCAATTTTTATGATTTCTTTTTCAATGATATCTCTTATGAAATGAAATTTCACGTCTATATGTTTAATTCTATCATGAAACATTGGATTTCTACTAAGATGTATAGCTGATTGACTGTCAGAAAATATAGTAGCATTGTTATCAGAAAAACCAATTTCATTTAACAAACTTTTCACCCAGATTCCTTCATTTACAGCATTTGTAGCTGCAATATATTCTGCCTCTGTCGATGACAAGGCAACTAATTTTTGTAGCTGTGATTTCCAACTTATACAGGCATCATTTAGAGTAAAAACATAAGCAGATGTTGATTTTCTATTGTCGCAGTTACCAGCAAAATTACCAAACATTAATCCTAAATGTGATGTTCCTTTTAAATACCTTAACAACCATTTCATTCCTTCCCAATGGTATTTATCCGAATTACTCATGTATCTACTTAAGACACTGATAGCAAAGGCAAGATCAGGTCTGGTACAGACCATGATATACATAATAGATCCAACTGCATTTACATAAGGCACCTTTTGCATTCTATTTCTTTCTATTTCAGTTTTAGGACACTGCTCTGTAGAAAATTTAAAATGGCTGCCTAAGGGTAAAGAGACTTCTTTGGTTTCACTCATAGAATATTTATGTAAGATTTTTGAAATATAGGATTGCTGAGTAAGAAACAAATTGTGATTATTTCTATTTCTCCTAATTTCCATTCCTAAGATCCTCTTGGCAGAACCTAAATCTTTAATTTCAAATTCTTGTTTTAATTTTTGTTTAATATTGTTTATCTCAGTTGAATCATATCCAGCAAGTAACATATCATCAACATACAACAAGAGATAATAAGATTTAGGTCCTCCATTTCCTTTATAATAAAAATAAGGATCATATTCACTTCTATTAAAATCAAGACCTTTAATGAAAGTATCAAACCTGCCTGGGGGCTTGTTTCAAGCCATAGAGAGATTTCTGCAAAAGGCAAACACAGTTTTCTTTGCCTTTCTGTTCAAAACCTTTAGGTTGGGTCATATAAACTTTTTCATCCAAATTTTCATAAAGAAAGGCTGTTTTCACATCTAATTGTTCTAATTCAAATTTAAAATGTGAAACAAGAGCAAGTAGTATCCTTATAGAAGTATACTTGACTACAGGAGAGAAAATCTCATTGTAGTCAATTCCTTCTCTTTGATTAAAACATTTTGCTACTAATCTCGCATTGAACCTAACATTTCCAAAATTTTGTTCATCTTCCTTTATCTTATAGACCCACTTGCAGTCAATAACTCTTTCCCCTCTAGGTTTAGTTACCAAGATCCATGTCTTATTTTTAATTAATGAAAGCATTTCATCCTCCATAGCTAAAAGCCAATACATTGCATTTTTTCCTTCTATAGCCTCTTCATAAGTTTCAGGTTCATTGTCTAAAGATTATTGTACACTAAGTACAATGATAAACTCAGGTTCACTATATCTTACAGGTGGTCTTATTTCTCTCCTTTCTCTATCCCTAGCAAGATGATAATCTTCTAAGGGATTATTTTGTTGTTCAAGTTCATGAGCAGGTTCATTTTCCTGTTCTTGAGGTTCCCCCACCTCAAGTTGATATTCATTTTCAAGGTTTGGGTCCCTAGTTGTTACTTCAGATTGCAGGAAATGTCTATTTTTATCAGTTTCAATGACTGTAGTATCTTTTCCTTTAATACAAGGAAAGTCCATCTCATTAAAGATGACATTTCTACTAATTACTACTCTATAACCTCCCTGATCTTTTAGCCAAATTTTGTAACCTTTAACACCTTCCCCATATCCCAAAAGTATACCTTTTATAGACCTGGGTTCTAATTTTCCTTCACTTTGATGTACATAAGCTGCACATCCAAAGATCCTAAGTTTTGAGTAGTCAACAGGATGACCATTCCAAACATGGTCAGGTGTATCATAATCTAGTGATTTTATAGGACATTTATTTATTAGAAAAGAGGCGGTTTTTATAGCTTCCCCCCAGAACAATTTTGGAAGACCTGAACTTATTAACATACATCTCACTCTTTCTAATAGAGTCATATTCATTCTCTCTGCTAAACCGTTCTGTTGAGATG